GGCGCTAGCATGTCAACTCCTGCGAGGCGGATGACATTGAGTAGAAGCTGGGTGGGATTAGAGAAGTCGAGTCCGTTGATCATATTTCCTTCGCAGCTAGACATAAAACAATAAAGAAATAACCAGAGAATTGTGAGATACCCTCACCTTGTCACAGTCCACGGTCCGGAGAGCTTCTGTGTGCCCAAGAAATCTACACGAAAGGAAACCATTTTACTCTCATTCGTTCGTTTGAGAAGGGCAACACCGACGGCCCCATCACCGAAGAAAGAATCATTGCGGCATAAGGTAACCGGTCGACCAGAGATGAAGTGTGTTGATGCAGCTATGAGCCCTAGTTGGGTGGTGGTCGATGGTAAGGCTCCTAGGGACTGACACAGGCCTTCTGGTTGAAGATCCGAAAAAAAGATGATAGAATCAATGGTGGATTGGCTAGAGTAGTAAACAGTCCCATTACTTCTTCAAATTGTTTTGAAAAGAACTTTCAGTAACTTACTCAAGAGAACGTAATTCCTCAGGAAGTGGAATGTCTTTGGAAGCAGAGCCATTCCAGATATCCTCCCAGGACACAGTACCATTGTTAGTTCCTGCTCGTGAGTTCAACTCATAGCCTTTGTCATCATCAATATCGTCTTTCTTCCTAAAAGAATGCCAGCGTCCCACTTGGGGTTGAGTTTTTCCAGGGATGGTGGATCTGAAAGGTACGACCCGGGACGAGTCAAATATTCCTATAGAACATGACAAGATTGGCGTTGAGTAGCAATCTTCGCGGTCCCAAATATGATTGATTTTGGAGAAATTAACAGGCGAGAATGAGTCTGAAAGGCATCCTAAGGTGTTTCCTCGTTTATTGAATTTTGTTAATATCTCAACGGTATCCGCGAGATCCTGTGATAATGGAAAGTTGGCAGACAGGGCGAAGAGACAAGTATGCCCTTTGTTGGTGTATACATCAGTGAGTTTGACAAGCTGCTTCTGGAGGGCGTACGGCGTCCTGGCTAGAATCGTGCTGAGGTGCAGAGGCATAGGCTTGATTGTAAGGACGCGAAGAGTCACGTGCACATATTCCCTCACTGGTCTATACGGTCCATTCAATGCCTTCCTCAATGGCATCTACAATGACGGACGACTATCCATCTATGCTTTGGGTCACGTAATTATCTTATTTGTTATCCCATTTTGTTATTTGTAAGGTTAACGATGCTTTCTTGCTATCCAATTTAGTATCCCACCGATAGTCATGCTCTCAGCATATTATATCCGTAAATGGTACCTTGCTCGAAGATTACGGATACACGGAATAGGCAAGGGTGGTGCGTATCTATGGACTATCAATATCATCTCAATACCATCTGTTTGCTTAGCACCAGGTTTTCAGACGAATGTTCGTCGTATACGTGTCACGCCGGAGATCGCTGCCAGGATACGGCGCGGGGAGCAAGTGAGCCCTGAGGAGATTGAAGCTGCTTCCAAAAAGGCAGATGAAGAAGAGGCTACTCTCAAGTTGTCCTGTAATGGGATCCCCTCTGGCGCTGGGGTAAATACACTACCGACGAGGATCATTGAGGAGAGGGATGATCGTAATGTCACCAGCCAGACAAAGAAGGATGGTCCTGTGGAGAACGAGTGGCTACCTGATTCAGTCACGGGGCCAAAGAAGAGAGGGAAAGGCAAGAAGAGGTGACGGTGTTTGCTACACCTGATCATAAAAGGTCAGCTTTATTGAGCTGCCTAGGTCGTTGATAACACTGACTTTTAATCCAAGTTATTTATTTAAACTCACGCGGTCATTTCCTATAGCTCGCGTTTCCAGTTGTCGGCGAGTTGAAGCTCTTCCAGACTAATTTATATACCTACGGCATGTTTCGACTCTGCTTATTTTAAATGTTAGCTTGCACTTACAACTACCCTAGTTATTTCACATGTCCTACCTCGAATGGATATTTATGTTACTTCGGAGCCACTGAGCCCTTCCTTGAGTGAAGCTAGAGGTTTATCGACTGAGCTGATAATTCTGTTCGACTAAACGAAAAATTCAGTATCTTGGGGATGCAAATTATGCATACAGGCAGAATATGAGCTCAATCTATGCAATTCCTCCATTCAATCTTATTCGACCGCAACCGTCTTAGAACATGTGGGTATCCATAGAACTTAGAAGAACAGGATATTTTGTTCCTGGCTAATCTTCGCTATGACCTTTTCGCAGCCGCTGAATCTCAATTTACCTGCGGTGACGAGGCCGTACGACTCCTCCTGACACAGCAAAAGCTTCGTGGAGAGCGCGAAATATGGGCTTTCAGTCCTGGTATGGTAGCCTCTAGCATGTCGAGGTAATTGGAAAGACATGTATAAGCTTGGTATGGGGACCATCATTGGGACACGCTGTATACAGTCTGGTGCCTATAACCCCAGCGAAAGTTTCGTAGACCAAGGCGCCTCGTCCAACCATCCATTGATTCGCATAAATTAGGTCACGTAAAGGGGAGAACTGCTTGGGCTTGGAGTTGAGGAAACACTAAACATGATTTCTTATGCTTCGATGGTGGCCCGACTAGATTTCTTATGCTTCGATGGTGGCCCGACTAGAAGTTGTATTGGTGTTTCAGGACTCGGAACGATGGCATCAGGTAACTGGATCCTGTGAAAGTATGGGCTAAAAAACCGGCATGATGCACATCACATTCAGTCAAGGTGAGAGGCTGCTTTCCTTGCTAAAATCGAACAGAACGGTGCGTATATCACAGCAGTATATATGACACCACAACGTGGACTTTGTCCGACTGAATGAAGATGGCCTGTGACATACTGCGAGCTCTCGCTCGAGATTGACACTTGAGAGCGTAGAGAGTAAATCAGGTCAATAGCGAGCCAAGTGACCTGATTTAAGAAAGTCCCATAATTGAAATGGATTCAAAATTCATCATGTTATTATAACAACAGCAAAAACTCAAGTCATTTCATAATCTTTGGAGAGTTGGTTTTGGCATAAACACCAGGTATTTTCTTGCCGGCTCTGTACAGCATTCAGCTTTTGGGATCTGTGCATTGTCTTGGATAGGAACTGATGACTGTCATCCTTTTTGGGTTGTGGGTGCCAATACATATGATGACAAACTCCACTGTTTTGAACCGATCTAGGACGGAGAACTGAGCCTGCTATTTGCCAGTGCTACACCACTACATCAATGATACACGAAACCTCCATAAATTTCCATAAATTTTAAGTTCTCTGTTAGTATATCGGTTTAGTACACGCGCTTGTCATGGGCGCGAGGCTCATTATACGCGCGAAAGCTGGGTTCGACTCCCAGACAGAGAGTTGAGCACTTTTTTTATGCAGATGAAGCGAGCTGGACGTTTCGTTTCACGCAAATACTGATTGTACAGGACCTGGAATAGTTAATTGTACAACGGACGACATTGGTTATATATCCTCTAGGTGTGATCATAAATAATTAATCTTCACGTTGTTCGCGAAAGGAAAATAAGAGAAAAGCTGCATATATATATCTAATCTACGTTAAAAACTTCGTTTTCTCATGCACACGCATCCTCTCATGGATCAAACAGGCTATACTAACATCAATGACAATACCGTCCACCACCGACTCCAACCAAACGACGAAAGAAGGGAGATCGGAGAGAACATCCTTGAGTATGCGAACAAAGTCATAATTTTTCTCATCCAAGAATACCCTCTCCATCCGAATACGCCGTACTGCTAGCATACGGCGAACCCAGTTCATTATATCTCGCAATCTTCAGCCGTTGACTAGGCGGTATAATCTTGTCATCCAACCCATGCGGCATACCGCCGTGAAGTACACCTACGCGTTTCATCGCGAGTAACTGCGACACAAATAGGGTTAGCATACGTGTATATAGATATATGACGCTGGGTCAAATATATGCGCAAAGGGAGATGGAGGAAAGGGAGAAGGGAGAAAGACAGGAACTTACGTTGTGAGCAGCATTTGAATGATCATATACACCACCAAAGAATGCGGTAGAGGCATCCTTCCCAATCATCTTGATCAACAGATGGGGTCCACCAGGGTGATCGTCGATAAAGGAGCCCACATCATGAATGAATCCGGACACGAGGATCAAATGACGTCTCTGAGATTGCTCTTGGACTAGAAATAGGATAAAGATGGGCAACGATGAAGAGATGAACCAGCGGGGGGGAAAAGACACGTACAGCTGCTCCAGCTGATGACGGGAAGATCGCTGTTATCACTTGGCCATGTCAATTTCTCCTGTGTTTCCCTCAATTTCTTCAATTCCATCGTCAGCTGGCCCTTGCGAACTTCGTTGTCAGGGAACACCTAAGCCACGTGTTAAAATTATTCAGGCAAAAAGATATGAAAGTCGGGTGGGTACCTTTAGATGACTGGCGAGTCCTAGCTGCTGGCAAACCCAAATGAACCACTTAGTAGGGTCGTACTGGTACCATTTGATGGCGTTTCGGTAGTCCATGGGGAATTGATGATGGAAGTTGTGGTAACCCTCACCAATGGTTACCAGCGCCGTAGCGAAATGGTCTCGTGGAGTGTGCTTGTCATCGAAAGGAGCTTCGCCCAACCAATGAGCAAGAGAATTGACACAGAACGTCGACTTAGAGGTGATTTTTCGGTCAGGAGGAATAGTGAATATGCATAGGAACGACTCACGTGATGAACGAAACATAACCGGACAATACCCGCGTAAACATATCCACCCATAGCATCGTTCCAGAACAACCAGGGAATGACAGTAGGAATAATAAAGGCAGCGATGAGGATCATGGGAATGTAATACTTGTGTTGCCATTTGACGATAGGGTTCTTGCTCAAATCACTGACATCCGCAACACCCGGCTTACGGCGAGGTTTGAGTAGCATCCAGCCAATGTGGGAAAAAAAGAGGCCCTTGTGGGCACTATAAGGGTCAAGGTCGGTGTCGGTATAACGATGGTGTGCTCTGTGCCCTCTTGACCACCATTTAATGGAACCCTCAACGGCACCTGCACCCGCTACGGCGAGGAAGTATTGGAGGGGTACAGACGCGTTATAAGAACGGTGGGCCCATAGGCGATGGTAGCCGGCGGTAATTCCAAGACCAGTGATGTAGTAATAAAGAACGGAAAAAAGGAAGGTCTCCCAACGAAGCTTTGTGAATATCATGCCTATTATGCCAAAGATGGGGGTGAGGACGAGAATAGCGACATTGAGGAAGTTAAGCTCTGAAAGAGAATTTCTCCATGCAAAAGGTGGGAGGGCCTTTGTCGTCTTAAGAGTGTGTTCAACGTAATTATCAGGGATGTTGAGGTCGGCGGGGACCTTGTCTTTATCGAGCTTTGATGACTTTGACGAGGACATGGAGAAGGTGGTCGCTGTGCGGAAGGAGTCGTGAGCAGACGAAAAACAGGAACAACATAACTGTGCCCGGTATTTATACGGCCATCATTTCTTTGGGGCGGACTGGTCACGCTCCCCCAATGTAACAAGTTATCTTTTTTGAAATTTCAATTGTAACAGTATGCTACTTAGTAGTACTTATAGCAATAAACCCAAGGCTTAGAATCACATGATATCAGACCGGCATAAAGGACAACTCGATGAATGGCTCGAGTTGAACCACTGAGGTCCATTAAAATCCCACCACATGGCTTAAAAAAAAGGGAGACGAACCTTGTATAAGCACCCCGCATGGAATCGGTTCTTACATGTCTTACAAGGCTTTTTGGGGAGGCTGCCGTCCATCACGCTTATAATCCTATATATATATGTAAATAAACAACAAAAAAGAGAGTAGTGGTTGACCATCAACTCACGAGTAACATATCGCACACTCAACCTGTCCCTCAAAGTGTAGTGTCACATTTTTCTTGAACAGGCTTAACCCATCGACAATTCGTCCATTCTAGATAACACATTCAGCATCCTGTCTTCCTCCGTGATCATTTAGACTTACGTGCGCATAAATAGTCTGCTGGACACCCAACACCCAAGCCCTCCATCTCTTTTCTTCAACTCCAACCATCTTCACATCCTTAACCTCAATTCTATGCAAGGGCCAATCAGTCGGAATCTTCAACTTGATCTCCAACTGATGTTCATCCACGGAATACGCAGCAACAACCTCGTTAATCGCCTGAGCTACCTTTACTGACATGCTTTCGTCGGCTATCGAGGAAGAGTTACTTCCTGTGGAGGCAGCACTATGCGTCCGGACGTGCTCGAGTTCTGCGCGGATGATCACGGGAGAAAAGTATGTAGAGGTGTATACGGTGACAGCGTTTGTTAATTGTCGGTCTTTGCAATCTAGTACCCATGAATGGATGAGCGACGGAATTGTGAGCAAGGCTCGGTAATATAGATGTGCGGCTAGGACAGGGATGGTGTGTGGATTTCCAGGTTCGTATACTGTAAAAAATAGTAAATTGATATGTGATATGAAGAGAGGAACGGACAGGAAATACTGACAGTCGATATAAAACTCATCTACACCCCAGACGTCCAGTTTAAAAACCTTCAGCATGCTGCCTTGGTCTAATCGCAAGAGACTCAAAAAACAAGGTATAAGATGCCCCACTACCACATCGTGATTCCTCAATTGTTCAATATAGTTTGACTTGACCTTGAACGACTGCAATGAAAATAAATCAATTTTAACAAGAACGAAGTTGAAGAGAGGAACCAACCGCATCCTGGAAGAGATCAAAAACCAGCATCCAAGCTAACAAATGCCCAAACACATGATAGTTCTGGTCTTCCTCCCTCGTGATCTGCCCCCCTTCCCTACCTCTTTCTCCTCCTCCACCATCACCCGTACCTTCATCGAAACCAAAGCCGAAACCAAATTGCATGTCCCTTTCTACGATCGCCATCAACTCAATGGGCAATTCGGCTTGTACTACACCCTCCGTATCCACTGCAGCTTCGATGACGAAATATTCTGTCCGCTTCCTGGCAGCTGCTTGTAAAAGTTGATAAGCCTTCTTTTGTACTGTCGGTGAAGGATCTTGGATGAGGTGACACATCTGCAGAAACAATGGTATATAAATGATACAAAACAGAAAAAAGTCAAAATGTATGCGCACCTTTGATAAAGTATCCTGATCGATCAACGACGAAGGAAGATGTTGCACAATGGACAACACAAGTTCACGACATGTGGAACGAGGCACGGAAGATACATCCGCGGAATCTGGGTTCGGAAAAGCACATAGAACACACAATCGTCAAAAAAAAATGAAACAAAAAACCAACGCACCGAAACGAAGTACACTCAAATCGCGGATAACAACCAACACACCCATCCGCCGCCCTTCCCATTCAGCCATCAGTGATTTATTTCTGGTCGCCAACTCTTCCAGCACGATGACCAATCTCAGCGCCCTCGCTAACGCTACCAAACCTTCACCCATCTCTCCAGCCTCCTCCTCCTCCCCCTCTGATGAAGCCCTCTCTAAAACGCCCTCCAAAACATCAAACACAAAAGCCCAGTGACTCCCAGGTAGGTTCTGCAATATCGGCGCCAAGTGCATAAAAATGGGCAACATCGCGCTTTCCACCCGCTCTTCCATCTCTTCCTGATTTCCATCCTCATCATCGCCGTCGGCAGCGAGCACCCATCCTTGACAAGCCTTGACGACATTAATAGCTCTTGGTGATGTTAAAAACACCACATCCCCGTCAGGATCTGGCGCACTCGCGGCTAATCTTCGTAAGGCGAGCAAACCTTCCGTGTTTGTTTCGTAGGGTTTGATACCAAGGAGGGATGCTGCTATCTCGTTCCTGTATCTGTCGAGTCTTGGAGGTTCGGCACCGGTGGCGGTTATAGCTGCTATGATCGTCATGGATGTTTGAGGTGCTATCCAAAAAAAAAAACAGTGAACTTAGTCTTCATTTCTGCATTTAAAATTTAAAAAGAAAAGGAATGGCTCCATACCGGTTTTCTCCAACTTCCGAGCTAACTGAGTCCACAAATCTGCCTCTCCCACATCCATGCCATCCGAAAAGACAGATTCCAAAACGATCTTCAACACTCTCGTATCTCTCAATTTATCTTGTTCTTTCGCATACGAAACAACATTCCACAGGAACTGCTGGACCTGACTCATCCCCTCTTCCGGAGTCTCGATCCTCGCTGCATCTTTCAACACTTTTCCGAGGACTACTTTTCGCCACAACCCATCATCGTCTTTACCAACAGCAGATCCTAAAAGATATACGGACACCTGCTTCACCCTCGACACAATATCGCGTAATTTACTCATCGTTACGGTTTCATGGTCAAATACAGGGCTAGAGTAGTCATGTTTGAATGAGGATG